CATAGTACAGACTTGTAGGATACGGTAGCGCCCTTCAACATTAAGAGTATCAATACAGGTCCATCCAGAGCTCAAATGTGGCTCGATACCAACCTCTATAGGTCCCTGAAGCGTCGTACTAGGATCATACCAAAGTCGAGATCTATGATAGTCTGACAATTCACAGCCTGATATATGATTCATACCCCGTTCCGAAGGGCCATGATACGGAAGATCTTGTAAGGATAGGCTACATACGTAGGCAAATCCAAGGCCATATCCCTCATCATGTGCGGCAAGGTGCAGTCGAGAATCGGTTTGATGGATGTAATATAGCTTACTCTGGCCAAGGATATGACCCAGCAATCATGGCGATCACGGGAAATGTGTGCGGCCTCTTCGTTTTACACATACAAATTACACGCTATCCAGGAATGTGACCTCGCCGAATGGATTAAGATGACGGCTTAGGGGATAAGAAAAGTAGACAGTTTCCGTTCTCGCACAATGTGAACCACGAGTGGAAGGAAGCCACCCTAGAGGGGGGTCAGTTCATTCACAGAGGCTTCGAAACAGTCCATAGTCCGTTTTTTTTTTTGGTTTCATTGATTTGGGCTCTATCCCTTTAAAGAGCTCTCATGCCGAATTGATCGTAATGAAAAGTTTTCCGCAATTCCGAGTGAACACCGGGCAAAGAGCCAATTCCCATAAACATCCCACCACACACAGAACACAAGAATCCCCCAACTTATGCGAATGTGGACGGGCGGGTAGCGCTGAAGACCTTCTTGGTGCTGATACGGGGAACACGGTGAGGAAGAGGGAAAGAAAGGTTCTTGGTAATGAGTTGCTTGATATAAGGGCGCTTGACGTCCTCGCTCTTCTCGATTTCGACGACGCGGAGAATCTAATTTCTGAAGTTAGGACAAATTTCTGGCTCATTGCTCTGGGATTTCATACGTGGATCGACCGGAAACGAGCACGGTGGCGGGCAGCCATGTCGGAGTACAGGGCCTCAACAGCATCTGTTCTGGAGAGTTCACGGTACTCCTTGTACATGTTGTGGGTGCCGGAGCGGGAGTCGTATCGGATCCAGATACCGAAGTTCTTGACGCGAAGAGGGTTCTTCTCGCTGATCTAGGGAGCACAAACAAATCAGCCTTCGGACTTATTTTTGGCGGCTTTAATTCCATGGAAAGCTAGCACATACCTTGTTCAAGCTAACAATCTCGCCGTTGGCCTTCTTGACCTTCTTCAGCTTCATCAAGAAGTACCAGAAGCGAGACTTCGCAACGACATCGTTCGGGGCGAAGATGCGCATGCGGTAGAGCTTGGGGGTGGGGTTGGCCTCAGTGGGCAGGTGGCGCCCAATGACCTGGTATTCGTGAAGGCGGCCTAGGAGCATCTCGTTAGTGATTGTTGTATATAGAATGTAAACAGTCTCCAACGGCAGAGCGTCATGGTCGAAAATCCGAGGGGTCATCTAAACGATGGTATCGCAACGTGCTCCAGCGCGCAGACAAAAACAGGCATAAATGTTGGCAGCCATCGACTTGGCGCCAACTCCCTCTGAATTTTCATAGTTTTCGCATAACACATTCCTCTCCCAATTTCCACCGGGTTTTTTATTCAAGTTTCGACACACGCAGTAAGCTCACGACTTAATAGATCGTGGTTTGAAGTCGTTAAAATAATCGTTGCATTAAGTGGTCGTCGTGACTAGGATCGATTTTCGAACGGCTTCAATTGCATCATTGAACAAGGGAAAAATCGCTTACCCATCTGGAATTAAATATTAGCTTTCAGCTGTCGAGAGGATATAAAATTCAATTATCGCAACCTACTGTGAATTGTGTCCGGTCCTGTTGTCGTAAGGTTAGTTGAAGGGCAAACGATCAGGTCGGGTGCGTTGTAGTGGAGGCCACACGTCTTCGGCTAGGTTAGAGAACTTTTTGCGAAAAAATGTGCTAAGGGTTTCCCGCCCTAGCAGAATCATTGGGAGTTGTGATGTGGCTGTGCTTTTATTGTAATTTCGTGTCATGTCGTAGGAACTCTTTTTGTGGCGTCAGATGTGGCTGGTACCGAGATGGTGAATGGTGGAGTAAATTACGGAATAGGTACGGGATTACCTACGAGGTCCACTACCTACTACTTACCTACCTACCTTACCTAACAAGTACATAAGTATTGTAGGTGGTGTAGGTACCTACCTAACTGAGGCCCGCTGTAATGCCTCTTAGCGGCGCATTCACTATTAGGTAGGTACCACTTAAGTGCGTAGGTAGGTACCTTGGTACCTATTGCAATCGCGTATCTAAGATTCTTGAGACCTTTGGTCATGACAAGAACAATAACGACAAGACAATAACTGATTCCGTGAACCTTTAGGTACATTTCATTTGTGCATACGTCAGTGACAACTCAGCAACGTCCAACAATTTCGACGAGCTCCAACCTTGCCGTCCGTACTACTTAGGCCTTGTCCTGAACTTTGGTCATGGATGGCCTGATCCGTCGATTTCGAGTGGCATATGCTGCTACAAACGGAGAGCAATTGGCTGAGACTCTAAGCCCAGACACGGAAGCCCACTCAGCCAGGCTACGTGAAATCTGGGGCTCTGGTGATGCCCGGTCTATGGTATCTGATCTCAATTTTCTTCTCTACCAAGACCAGGCTCGTTTTAGTATCAGGCTTTCTAAGGACGAGACCAGTGGCTGGCATGCCATCTACACTGCATACTGGAAAGCTTTAGGTGAAATCCTAGCTGTAGAAGGGTTGCGGGGTGACGTCCAGGTAAGCTGACTCTATGGATGCTACCTCCTAGATGAGCTCGTTCTAGGGGTTGTTTTTCTTGTTGAGTATCAGTCGAGAGGATCTTTCGTGCTGACTGGACAAAGTCTTCCTGGGCTAAGGTATATGACGCATGGAAAGATGTCACGTTGCTTACTATTCGTGGATATACGAACCATGAGTTTGAAAACTGGACCATCCCGTGTCTTTATGTCACTGGCAAATACTTGAGACTCTATGCCATGCGAGCCGATGCCGAGAGAGGCTTCAATACCGACGATACGGCTATCGACGATCTACAAGACGATTTTGATCCGCAAGCAGAGGCGCATAAAAGTCTCGAGGATTGTGCGAGGCATCTAAACAGGATCTTTCAGGTGTGCGCCTCAGATAGGTAGGTAACTGCTTGTCATCATCTGATAAAACCTGAGAATTTCTCTAATTTGAGCTAGGGCCCCTTTAGAAGAATCCCGCAAATGGGGAGTCTACTATGCTGTCAATCTCTTGTTCAAGACTTACTTCAAGCTAAATTCAGAACCGCTCTCGAAGAACATCTTGAAGGCGATATCAGCTGGCCGAGCTGACATTCCTCCAATAGATAAATTTCCCAAGTCACAGCAAGTTACTTTCAAGTACTATGAAGGCGTACTGTCTTTTCTGGAGGAGAACTATGTACAGGTAAGCGCCCTTTGGTTATGTATGGTTGACATTCGTAAAGCCTAATAAGCTTAAAGGCCGAAAAGCACCTCGAAATGGCATGGCTGATGTGCCACAAGAATGCACAACGAAATCTTGAGTATGTGCCCATCTTCTTTCCATCTAGTAGTTCACAGGCTAACATCAGACCAGACTTATCCTTACGTACCTAATTCCATGCCGCTTATTAACAACACATACACTGCCTAGCGCACAGCTGCTGGAGCCATTTCCCCGTCTTCAGAAATTATTCATGCCATTGGCCCGTGCAATCAAGAAAGCTGATCTACGAGCATTTGATATTGCTTTACACGACGGCGAAGATGAATTCATCAAGCGCCGTGTCTACCTGACTTTAGAGCGTGGGCGTGATATCGTATTGCGTAACTTGCTGCGCAAGGTATTTCTGGTAGGTGGTTTTGAAGAAGCCAAAGATGGAGCGCCACCAGTACGAAGGACCAGAATTCCTATCTCCGAGTTCACTGCTGCCGTACAGATGAGCAGTGGAGAAGCTATTGATCTGGATGAAGTTGAATGTCTCATGGCCAACATGATATACAAGGTACGTAGTCACATTTTATACGCGTATCACATCACTGTTTCACGCCTCTCTGAAGATTTGAGGGGAACTTCTTCGGGTCAGCCGCGTCCTATATGCTGATATTCTCGTTTTTTCCGGGAAAATGAGGCAATTTGGAATTACTCTCTCACATAGTCAAGGCACCGCTCGTCCCGCTGTTCTCTCCTCAAGAGAAGGTCATCCCACAGAATACCAACTACTAACACTTTCGCCCAGAATCTCATGAAAGGATACATCGCCCACGAGCGTGGATTTGTCGTCTTAAGCAAATCTGGGGCATTCCCCGGAACAAAGGTATGACTTCCGAGAGACGATAAATCGGTCAACCAAATGAAGTTAGAGGCAATGGCAAGGCGGGAAGCAGCGATGCATTATTGGAAGCTTACTGAGAAACAAGTGTCAGCATTGGACGGGCTCACAGGGCATCAGATCAGAAGTCACCACATGAGGTCTCCTGGTTGATGTGGACATATCTGAGAGTCTGGGTGGGTGCAAACACTACATATATTCAATCTAGCGGTATAAGCACTAAGGGGTGAAACATCACGGACTGGTGATTCACTTGCCTCAGAATCATCTCAACCGGTCGTCTCCAAATCAGTTGCAATTGAGTACTAATCTGGCCCGGCATACCGCCCAGCAAGGCTGCCTGGTTCAAGCACTCGTTGGAAATTTTGGACATAGCGATTAACAAAGAACGAGGGAGGGGCAATGCGACTTACATGCGAATCATAATTCCCCACTCCTTTCAAGTTCACTGCGCAGCACCTACTACTAGGTAGGTACTACCTATCAATTACACAGCAGTAGTAGATAGGTTAAACTTCAAATCTAATTATGAAAATCTGAATAGTACTAATGAAGTGACTACTTTTTATGGACTTACACACTCACTGGCATCACAGCTCAAAAAAAAATGAATGAGTCAGAAACATAATCAGCACGAAAAAAATTGGGCTCAACCGGGATTCGAACCCGGGGCCTCTCGCAACTTCAAGTCAGAACCCAAAGCGAGAATCATACCACTAGACCATTGAGCCGGTGATCGGATATTAGATATTAGGACACTGTGTTAGATGAGAAATTATACAATGGATTCGGATTCCTTAGCAGTACAGTTGACACAAATAGATTGGAGAAGACGTAGATTTTGATAAGATTTTGATGTAATAATACATACATGAATGATAGTTGATCATTATTCATGATCAATCATGAAATGTTCCGAGTCTCCTCTTGAGATTTCGTCGCCCAACTCATCTCAGTTGAGGAGTGACGCTGTTTCTCCATCATGATGCAAATTCCCTCTCTGTCTCTTGGCAGGGAGATGTTAACATTGACGTAAATGAAGGTCTGAAATTATCAGTCGTAGATAATCACGTCACCTAATAGAAGACCTAAGCAGATGAGATCCCAAACGAAAGAGCAGCATAGAGAAAATTAAGAGATCCTCCGACATGCAATCTGCGTAAACCCCGTATGTCTCCGAAATCCTCACGTTAGCATCTCTCCAGCCCTGCAGGATTTTTTTGTTCTTTCTTTTAAGTTGTCATCCATAGCCACCTCTTAGGCAAGTACGCCGAGACGATAAACGTAGCATTAAGTATCCCGTAGGTCACCGGCGGCAAGCTGCTATTCGTGCCCCAGTCAGCCCAGGGGGATGCTGACCGGCGCCCAATGATAGTTCTATAGCGTGTCATTGAGCCGCGAGGAATGAAGAAGCAAGAGCCAAAGAACTCGATAGGGAAAAATAAACCATATTGCCGCAAAGTGGTATCAATATCAATAAAGTGCCAAAGCACAGGAACAAGCCTGTTCGCTGAGGTTTCCTCATAAACAACAAAACTAGGAGGAAAGAAGATAGTGAAAAGGATGAAGGCCATCGTTAGATTCTCCGCCAACACGATGGATGACGTGATGGGAATCTTCATGTATGAGCTGAGAGTCAAAAGTCAGACCCAGGATCCGCACAGGCAACACAATTAAAGAAAAGATAAGTATCGAGTCAACACTTGAAAGTGACGGTTGTTCCGGGGCGTGCTTCTGTATGCGTTGATGTCAGCGAAAGGCGAAGGAAGACAAGGCGAACTAGGATAAGTCTCGGGAAGCACTAGAGATATCATCGACATGATTACACAGGGCGACGAAGAGGTCGAAGAAAAGCTGTGTCCCGCCGTTATACATTTCAAGCTGCATTGTACCGCTGCGCTTGAAAGTGCTGCGGGTACGGATGATGAGGGCGAGATAGTGTGCTCGTAATTTAGAGTCGGTGTCTGGAGTGTTCGCATATGCATAGCGGGCTGATGCCAAGATAGTACTACACTGGATGCCGGACTCTGTCAACACCATAATCAGCATACCCCCTGATGAATGGCAAGACTATATTAGTGTGTAAAACCTACGAAGGCCTTGTTTTCGCAACGCAACATGCTTCAGGTCTTCCAGTCCGTATTTCTCAGCTGTGCAGTAGATGACTGTGTCTTTTAGGATATCGCCATCGACAGCATGGTGGTAGACGGTACTTTCGCCCCCGAGACCACGCTGCTCATCGTGTTGCTCGATCTCCCACGAGTTGCGACGCTTGTTGTGGACTAATCGTGGGTAATAGTCACCCTTGTAGAGATATTCGAGAACGGACGAGAAGATCTCCGGTTCATCATCTGGCAGGTAGATACGTTTGCCGTTCTGAGGATCTAGGCATATATCCGACAGAACCTGCTCAAACCATGGTGATGCACAAAGTACGTCGCGGTGCGCGGCAAAGACTCGCCGGTCCCGACCGATGATGAGAGTCACAATAGACGATATCATATTGCTATGCGAAGAATATTAATGTTAGAACAGAAAGCTATCGAGGGGCGTGATAAATGAAGATTACATTACCTGTCCGGCAATTCGGTTGTGTCCATATGTTGAGACATGGATGTCGTCAACCCTCGCCGAGGATCATGTCGACTCTTGGAAACACCATTATGCTTGCTAGAAGACGAACCCGACTTGCTGACCTTGTGGCCCTTGAAGCAGCTGCTACTTGACAGCGGATTGAAACGTCTAGATTGCATGTTAAAGTGACAAATGTGTACACAATGTGAAGGTGTAAGAATGTAAGCTTCGGCTCTTCAATGCCGGGCCAAGGGATATCAGGAATTGACTCGCGATCAGAGAAAACAAACAAGTCAATGCTCGACTATCGGCGTAGGAGATCACCATGTAATAGGATGTAGTGAGAGGAAGATGACAAAATCAAACAGAGGAATTGGCAATAAAGATGATGAGTTCTGCCTACCTGTTGAAACCTACCTGAGAAGGAACGGAAAGCTTTTGGGAGGGGGCTCCCTCTTTATATAGTGAAAGAACCCATGTTGGGGAGAAGATAAGACGCATTTTTGGACTTAATGCCTACAGTGCTACTAAAAGATAGCCCATAATTTCGGACAAGCACGCTTGGGTGACGATGGAGGCTGGTCATCGCGTCTGGGCTAGACAGGAAAATGGCACGAAATCACCTGACTCGTTCAACCTGTATTACTAGCTGACCTTTATGAGTCTAGGTACCTAGGTAGTACGCAGTGGTGTGCCTATCGGAGGAGCTCTGGCAGTAGGTACTTTTAGGTAGGTATTGGAGGTAGATGCCTAAATAGGCACAGGTAGGTAGAAGTAGTACGTATACCTATCAAGGCAGCTCGGGGCCTCGGGCACCACCTACACTACCTACCTACCTACCTACCTAGGTACCTACCTAAGTGAACTGTGAACCCTCCCTTTCGGTGGGTGAACGTAGTCGGCCAGAAACATCAATCTGCGTACGGAATAACTACTGCCAAATTTGAGGGCCAACGAGAAATCCTTAGTACTACCTACGGAATACCTAGCTAACCTATCCCCTACCTAAGTCATTGATTACCTAGGTAAGAAGCCGGATTTCTTTCTACACTATGCCCCGTTCCCATCGAGATTCCCTTATAAAGATTTGTCCATACCTTAGGTAGGGTGTGCACTCAGTGCGCCGCGAGGCCAACAACGTCGCAGGCTAAATATGTTACCTTATATCTACAGACATACTGAGTACGGAATACAAAGTACATTACATATTATGTAGGTAGCCAGCTCACCCCTGCATGAAATGATATGGTAGGCAGACATCAATTGACTCACCAGAAAAAAAGCCCTCAGTCCGATGTTAGGTATCTAGTCATACATTAGGTACCTCCTGTGAAGACAAGGTAGGCAGGGCTGTTCAAGGAAAAGCAACAGTCTCATAGTGAACGTATTGGTCTTGGAGTATATACCTATCCAAGACTTGCGATCAAGTCTGCCTCCCTATCTACTCGGTAGCATCCAAGGAGGAAGCATTCACATGTTGACTCATACTACTGTCGTCATCTCTTCATTCTTCTCAAGTTTCCAAGCGGTCCCGTTGCTTTGCTCCGTACTTGGGGTACATATCTTGGTAGGTATCCCATATGTCATCACGAGGTGTACGGACTACATACCTCGAGATCCGAGATCTGTGTGAGTGGATCAATGATTAACGTTTGGGGTCGGGGCTGACTAACAAATCTGTGTCTCGCTTACGCCATGCCGTTGCAATGGGACGAGCAGGCGTTATTTAGGGGTTCGGACTCAGATTCCTGACGGTTTTATCCAACTTTATATATGTACGTACTCGATTTGGCAATACCACCCAACCAAGTCCTACATGAACAGCGCCTGTGGTGTAGGTACAAGCAGATGAAAAGATCTCAGAGAGGGCCAGTATCAGCACAGTACCTCTGGATCTATTTCTAGGTGGCTTTGATGGGTACACTACAGTAGACAGTACGATGGATAGTGTGTAGGTAGGTAAGGCAAACTTCCAGGACCGCCCAACTCTCCTCCATTCCGAATTCAATCAACATTGCTATCCGCTTCTGCTGCTGTCAGTATAGTATGATAGTTTCCCCTCCGGGATTCCCGAGGGGCTTCGGCATGAGTTATCTGTGCTTAAGGCAAGTCTCGCCCGGGTTAGGTAGGTAACTCTCAATCTCTCACAATATCACTGAGTAAGTAATCGTTACCCAAATACGTACGTACTTTTCTCGAGTCAACCTTGCATGACTGCCATTACTCACCGAATACGTTCCTAAATACTATCTATATTCCACTGTAAACTATGAACAGAACGTTCGAGCCTCTTCCAGCCGTCCGATGATATCGCATAGTTCATATCTATAACCATAGGTATCAGATCATATCCGACGTGTGAGTATCCTATTCCACACGCTTCAATATTCCCATCATGCAGCCGAAAGTCTTTAAATGTCTGGCAACGAAAAGCCTATAAACGGCTCAATGATTAAAATGAGAGCATATTAGGACTTTTTTAGGTGTGTATTTGTACACATGCCCAATCGCTCCATGTCACCAGGAGCTTGATAACTCCTCCACATAGTAGGTAGTAGGTGACAATGGAACATATTGTGATGTGAAGAGAGTCATAAAAGTTCTCAATGCGGACCAGACCAGAAGCGGTCAGAATCTTGAGTCCGGAAATTCGACCGCTGCTGAAAGGTCATGACCAAATATCTCATAATTCGCCGCACACGCTGTAGCCAGCTGTTGAACTGGCTTCTTCGTGTGCTGGGACCGCTTGACCTGACCTTTGCCGAAGCAGCATGGTGCCGTTGCATTCAGCTTGTCTAATGACTTGGCAGCGCTGATCTCGTTGTCATACTTGTCGAAATCAATAGGGCTCTCGTGATAGGGGTCATTGTAGCTACCGAGACGCCGGGGTTGCCAGCGCACGCATTGGTTGTAAGTGCGCCGTCCTGCCGTCTCGAGCTTCCTTGCCCGGTGCCAGTTACAGTAGTCTCTGCCGCTCTACATCAGAGATATCTTGACGTGCTGGCACCGCGGGTCCGCTCGACCGTACTCGCACTCCTCCAGATGATGGTGCAGCTCACATGGACACACCTGGAAGCGAAGGTAGACTTGTTTGCACATTTTGTTCCCTTCCCTTCACTCTCGAGAAGAGTTTTTGCTGGCGTGGTAGAAAGGACTCAGTCGGGCTATTAATAAGCAACTCAAAGCAGGGGTGGTTCTGCTTAGATACTGGGGACCGCACGCAGGTAGAGTCGGCGGGTATGTCGGCGTTAACGATCTGTGTCTTGAGACCAGACAATTTAGCACAGACATTGTGGCGATGGAGTATGAAGAAACGCACCCTTAACGCACCAGAATTGCTTGAGATTCGATAAGTTCTGAACCTACGGCTTTAACAACAGCTGGCTGTATGGGGTTTGGAGCCAGAGATCCGAGCATGAAGCTCGTCCGGGGAGAGCAATGGCTATGTCTTTGATGTAGACGTTATCGAGATGTCAGTCTTGCGATTGAAGGTAGGTATGAGGCAGAGAAGACAATCAACCGTTGTAGATAATAGCAGATTTGGTTAAGATGTTGTACAGATCATTGAGGGCCCTGCAGTCTGTACCGGTCTACCGTTGAAAATATCAGCAGGAAGCACGATTCCATTGGGTCGGTAATTTGACTGACAATGGCTACAAATTACGCACCTTGCTGGTGGGCGGTGGTGGTTATCCAGCAAATGAAGCCCCCAGTACTTCCAATATGAATGCGTGGACTGTTAGCCGACGTGTCGCGGTGGCAAACCTAAAGATGAGTATGACCTGAGGCTGAGATGTCAGATAGTCTGGGGCCTAAGTCGATTGTCTGATGGTGTCTTGTATTGGTGGTGTGGTGCCGGTGGTAGAGGCCAATGGGTGGGCGATTCAACAAACAGCCTTGACGTGTCACACAAACACACACTCACCGCACGCGCACGCACTCACACATACCTGGTCCTAGCGTCACTTGAAGAGGTAGGTACTTTTTGAGAGGCTCCAGTTGTTTGGTTGTGAGTAGGCAGGGCAAGACAGGCTCGGAAGCCTGCTGGTTATCGTGATTCGTTTGGATCTCAGACACGAGTTTCTTACCGGAAAACTGACATTCCTATTCCTACAATCTAATTTCCAAGTCTTCATGAAACCCAGACTGATGTAAGACTTTGACGACTTCATAACGGAAGCCTCTGTTTGTCAATCAATCAAACAGCGGGCTCATGACCTGTAAACGAACGTGGATTCATGGTAATGCTATGCATAATACACGCAAGAGGGCCAGCAATCCAGGCGTACATGCGTTATTCTGCGTAGTAGCATTGCTGTACTATAAATATACACCTCGACTACCAAGCTGTGTGCGAAAGGCTGCTCCTTAATTGATTGTCCTGCCAATCCCCAAAGCCCTACCAGTCTCAGTGTTACTGTGTGATTGCTCATGATCCACGAAGCCAGACCCTACATCATAAGTAAGGGGCCGGTACAACTGCATCAACCGACAGCCTAGAAAAGTGTAGATTGTTGTTTATGAATGTAACGCCTAGATTTCATCGTTGCTGTCTACTTACCCCATCGATAATTTACAAGCGTTTATGACCCTTTTACACTAGGAGAGGTTATGGCATATTTTGCCTCTCACGGAGACTATCCTCTCATATTATGAAGAGCGAAGACTGTTGGAAATGAATGAGTCGGTTGCCAGAGAATCTCAAAACGTTGGAGCTCGTCCCCCTTCTATGTCTGTTTGTGAGCATCCTATTTTGACACTCCGCGGTGAGTACGCATCTCTTCGATAAGTAGGCAACTCGAACTATCCCATGGCAATATATCTATATATCTATGCCCTTGAAAGGAGTCGGTCTCCTGTAGTGTATATAGCGAACGGAGCACTCAATTTTATATTACGGAGACCCGATTAATACGTGGACTGCTACAGTGGAGCGCTGTGCTGTCCGAAGAATCCCTGCCTAAGATACGTCCGTACATCCTACCTACTTTGATATTATCGACTTGCAAATCCCAAGCACGATGCATACCTAAGCTCTGGCAGGGTAGGATTTTACAACAATCAACAAACGAATGGCTAGGTGGCGGAGTGGTTAACGCGGTAGACTCGAATCGAATTCCATGTGAATTGCGAAGTGATCTACTTCCTTCGGGAGCGTCTGTTCGAATCAGGCCCTAGTCGATAGTTTTTGATTCAAATCAGATTAGATGTTTTTTTTCTTCAAAAAAAAAAAACTTTTGTATCTCTGTTATACCTAGCAGATTTTGTTTTTCGTCTTCTTTCTCTTTTAAGCGCTGCTTCTATTAATGAACCTACATTACACGATCGCCGGCGTGTGCGCCCAACTTTTTATGATGTGTGAAACACTCTATTTTGAGGTTATTATATTGATTATTCGTGGCCGATCTCACAGTCAATCTACCTAGCCGATGAGAGTTGGCAACGTCTCGATTGGTCTAGTGGTCAGGATACCTGCTTGTCATCTGGATAACTATTCCTATGGCAAACCGCAGGTGGCCGGGGTTCGATTCCCCGATCGAGAGACAATCTACTTTTTTTTTTCCTCTCCCATTGCGATTTCATCATCGAATGTCTGTAATTTTTTTGAGCTGTCCCCGACTACTAGCCACTTGCTACGGATTATACTATACATATATATATTTCATATCGATATGTGTACCAGTCATGTATTGATCTTCATCGTTAGACCGACTCGCTTACTTCGATGGCCTCTTCGTACAAGAGGTATAGCCGCAAAGCGATTGAATAGGGTATCTAGGTTAGGCAGTTTTGTATTAGTATTTGTGCTCCTGAATTTGCGTAGCAGTCAATCATTCAGCCATCAAACCCAACCTGTCTACGCACCAAGTTACCAACCAGGCCATTGATAGAGCCAGGGCCATTCGCATGCAAGGAGAGCAATCGCCATTGCCAAAGATGATCGGATTTTCGATTAAAACTATATAACATCTAACAAAATATCTCTACAGGTCTTGTAAGTACAAAATAAATATAAAATCCGTTGTTGGCTGACGTTGGGCCCAAGTGGGATGCACCGTTCCACAAGAGGCCCAGCAAATAATTAAAACAATTGAAAAGTCGGCGGAAGTTTACTCGATCCTCTTCTTCCCCTCTTCGGCATTGAGATACCTCGCAGTGCTCAGTCCGCGCTCGTGACTCGCCACAAGAGAGCCAATCATCTTGCCTTTTCTGACCTTTGCGACTGTCTCCTGGTAACCCTCTACCGCCCACGGCCTTGGGTTCAGCTTTGGCCAGTTGACCTACGAACTGGTATTAGCTCATCTGTGCAAATCAAGTGTTGTTTTTCAGGCGGTGATAATTGATAGCTCATTACTTACATATAGCATGCCATTCTGGACCATGAAGTTCAGACACCAAGCGGCCACTACTGACCAAAAGAGGATGAACAAGCGCATAGGCAGCACGGTGGAGTCCGGCAGACGTTTGGTAAACAGACCCATGAAGATGAAAAATAAACTGAACGCGAAGAAATAAGGAATGCTTTGAATAATCGCCGGCCTCCGGTCGGCAAAAATGGGTGATGAGCCAATATTAGCTGTTGTAGGCTCGTAGGCGCCCAAAAATAAGTCGTAGGCGTCTTGCCGGGGGCCGTCCCGGAAATTGTTCAGATAGTATCGAGTCACGGCAATCTTGCCGTCCTGCAAAGCCCCTTGCTTGGTACGATTGCCCAAACGCGTTATATCTGTCTTCATTGCGCCAGTGCCAGCATATGCTTTGGATACCGTGTCCGCATTGTCCGCCCATAAATTTCTGAAAAGGAATTCGAAGGCTGGATCTGCCGTGGCGAATGTTTCGCCTCGTTGCATTAGGCCGAGGTCAACAAAAATGCGGTCTAATGTCCACCTAGCAAGCATGCTTTGTACTACGTTCGTACGGTCAAGAGAGTCCATACAGTTCGTCCGTACCACGCTTGTCTGGGAATTTCTCGTCTCTAGTCCGCCATTCACTGGCATATCGACGCCTCGGAAATACTGTTGGGCTACTAGAGGGTCATGCAACCTATCCACTAGCAACTTTGCGCGATGCATCTGAAGCCCTTTAGTTTCGTGGTGGTAATCAAAATAGACGTAATGCAGGCGGTCGTAATCTTGCTGAGGGGTATTGGATTCAATGACACGGAACTTTTCATCTGTGAGATGGTCTGCACTGGTCGCTTCGGTTTTCGAGGTAAGGAGCATTTGCACCATCTGTTCGTAGGATTCCTTCACACGCTTCTCACGGCCCGTCTGGTTAACTAGGTTGACAAGGTAGTTATCACCGTACAAGCGAATCTGCTCGTCGAAGTGTTTTTTGGCGGCCGGCAAAGCGGTCTCAATTCCACGAATCTGCAACTTCGGGGTATACTTGAGCGCGTTGATCTCAGCCCAATAGACGGGCACACTTCCTCGAGTTTGGACGTAGGACATGAGTTGCATTTCCTGTCCCTCGGAAGCCCCAAATTTACCGCTTTGCATATCCGTGCTTCCTGCGTAGCCACCCAAACCGCCGCCTGTATCATTCAGAACTACAACCTGTTCAGTTTCATTGTAGTTAGCGGCATGCCCTTCCTCATCAATGCCTCTGGTGAAATATCTCGTCCCAGCCCGATACCTCGACTTTCTGGTAATAAGAACAAGGGTCAAAGGCGTTCCCTTGAATTTGGTTGGCCGTATTTCTAGCGTGCCCCAGATGAGTGGCAGGATGAAAGGGTCGGCGCCTGGCTGCGGACCCTGCTGTGACCGGCTCCCCAGTTTGCGGAAGTCAATTAAATCTGTCTGGACAAATCTATTCCAGAAAAAGCGATCATCGGCGCGCATCCAAAGAGGGATGGAATTGTCGATTGCAGCCTGCCTTTGGAAACTGTTGGTGAGGTCGAGCGAATAGGAGAAGTACATAGGACCGGTCATGACGAAGGTATTTAGAATAGACAGAAACTTGTCCTCGTCGGGGTCCCGAATCTGACGCTCCCGCATTGGTAGAAAGTCCGTCGAAATAACCTTGTACACCATATGTCCCTTGAGGCGACCCACGGGCTGGGCTTTTGTGATGACGATGACATACTTGTCTATCACCGGCTGGTAAGTCCAAACAGCCGGTTTACTTTAAAGGGGTGCAACTCTTACCTAGCCTCAGGCGAATAAGACCGAGGATACCGGCTATACTGGAGACACGAGTGACACGTTTGTTTTGTATAGAGGCAGTCTCGCTCAGGCGGACATCGCCTGTTGGCCGGTCAATGACCAGAGCTGGGGCATTGGGCGAGGAAGGCGAGGTGAAAGTATAAGACTCGGCGGCAACGTGGACATTAATGTCCCGGTATGGAAGTGTCATGATGGGCTTAAAGATAGTGCAGGTTGGCGAACATTCATAGCGTCAAGGGGGATGAGGGGGCGAGTCGACCAAAGTTGGGATAATCAGGAGTTCTATGGCCTACAAGGCTGAGTGATGGTATCAGTTAAGAGTTGCCGTATGGGCTGCACGGAAGGTTTAGGCAGCGGTTTTGAGTCGAGCTCCTGAAAATGGAGTCGGATAGGCAAGTGGTCGTCATCATAGGATACATAATATAATATACCAGGTAGATAGGTAATATTTCTATAAGCAATCATTAGGTACCTAGGTAGCATTCCAGCAGATGCATAACTACATGACCTAGGTAGGTAGTAGGTAGTATACCTACGTATACCTACTTCGTACGGAATAACCTACATAGTATTCACGCGACCCCTCGTCAGCGGACACCGGTATGTATTATGTATGTAGGTTAGATACCTGCCTACCCCCCTAGGAACCTACTACCTCCTACCTACACGAGGCAGTCATGGGTCTTTCACGGAATAGGTCCTACTTATTCCGAACACGTGCCAACTAGTGAAGTACTAAGGTAGGTAGTAGCATAAGGTAGGTACTTTCATTTTGTTATATAAGCAGTTGCACTACGTCCGTACCTATAGGTAATAAGTACAGGTAGGTAGGTATCTATTACCTCTGAACCTCTAACTACCTGTACCTATTCCATACGGAAAAGCGATTCGTTCAACATGAACTCGTCGCTAAGACCCTCCAGACCCACCGTAACATCTCTACTTATAACGGCGCTTCCATTTGAAATCATCGTTCTTCCGTACGGACGTACTATATAAGTAGGTACTTCGTACCTACTCGAGGTACTTACAGTACGCTTGTGTACAGTACGGATTAGGTAGGTAAGTACGGATCCGTAAGCGAACGAAGGATTGAAATCACACTGTCCAATAGCAGATTGGCAGACCGTCAAAAAAAGGTCTGCGGGCCGGAACGGGCCGGAACTTCAGTGGCCACTTAAGAACTTGTCAAAACCTCACAGGTCTTTGTTCTTGTCGCAGAACTTCTTCATGAGCTCATAGGCAGTACGGAATACCTAACTGTACCTGTTTCGCAGCCACTTACGAATTGTTTGTTATTCGCGCCAACATTTTCGTATCTACCCATAGGTGTGTGGTACCTACCTACCTAGGTACCTACACGTGAATACTTACAAGTACCGGTACACTAGGTAGATACATACATACCACCATGGAAAGGGAGGGGAGCCTGATCGGCCGCACCATTAGGTACCTACCTACCTATAACCTCCAGATGTAGGTTAGGAGGGAGGCAGGTTATCGTTCCTTAGGTAGATTGGTACATAAGTGTAGGTACCTATAACGGCTTATACCAGGCCCACTTAGCCACTCACGAGTCACCACTCAGTTCACCGTCCATTAACCAAGCTTCCAAGTCCATCTATCAAAGTTCCAGGCTGTGACCTAAACCCCAGCATTCCTCTCATCATCACCATTTCGTTCAACTGCGACAATACACCATCAACCACCGAATAATCCGCTCGTCGCCTTATCTTCCTACAATCGTCTCACTGTATCAGTAGTCTAGTCGACGTATCTTCCAAAGGCCACTCTCATAAGATCATAAGATACCTACGTCTCACCCACCCTCTCCCCCCCCCCTCCTCCATCTCATCGGTCGGTCTCCTTCGTGTCGCTCAGTAGCAACCGCGCAGCAAGCATCTTCAATCTACTCGACTTTCCCCACCACAAACGATTTTACAATGGCTTCTCGGGCAGGGCCTGCCGCCGGTCGCGGCATGAATACTCGCTTTGCACAATTCAAACTGGTCTTGTTGGGTATATTTGTCTCCCGCTCCCTGAATAATATCTAATCAACGCTGACGCATCTCCAGGAGAGTCTGCTGTGGGAAAGGTAATGGGCACGATATTGATGCGAGCTGCTGGGAATACCACGAAGCTAACTTGTCTGGCCAGAGCTCGATAGTTCTGAGATTCGTTAAGGTACTCCCAAACATCCGTCCAACGATCAAGTCATGGGGCTCGGCTGCTTATTGTAATGCAGGATCAATTTGACTCATACAGAGAATCGACCATCGGCGCCGCTTTCCTGACACAAACCATATCTCTCGACGAAAACACCACGGTCAAGTTCGAAATCTGGGATACCGCCGGCCAGGAGAGATACAAGTCATTGGCAC